CGTGTCGCCGAAAAGGCCGGCCTGGGACACGGGGGCGTTCAAGAATCGTGTCTTGTCCGTCTCGCGCATGTCAGCCAGTCACAGCCAGAAATGTCGCTCCTGGACCATCATAGTGGACATCGCACGACCCAGAGACTGTGCCGTAATCTTCGTCACTCGTAGCGCGAGGTAGAAAGCCACCTCAGCGTGCTTCATGCCCAGGCACGAGAGGCAGCGATCGTGACCATCACCCGGCGCCAGGTAACGACCGCACCCAGAAACACACGGCTGGTACGACATCTTTAAAAAGACGCGTCTTTAAAAAGACGTTCCACCCGTGAAGCTCTTTTAGATGGAAATTGCTCTTTTAGTGTGCTGAAGCGCACAGGGGAGATGGCCGTCTGCAACACACACAGGGGTAGTGCAGCCTACTGTGTGCAACCCACTCGACACGGCAAAACCACCGCCGCTGAAGCGCCGTACCACCAGCACGAGAGCACACGAAGAGCGAGCTTGACTGTAGTTTTTACTCTACGTAGCAGGTCAGGAGCAGAACGATAGAACCGGTCGGCTCCGAAGCGAAAAGTATCCGACGTGACGTCGGGAGTGACCGACATCGGCACATACATTTCCTCGTATTTACAAGCAATCAGCATTGCGGTAACACCCACTAGCTGGAGCTTCTTACGGGTCACAGGCTGGACCTGGAGAAAGCGATCAAGGACGGCTACGGTCATGTACAAGGTTTCTTGCAGGAGCTGAAATCTTGAGTGCACCTGAATCAGCCAGTCAACCAGGAGAGCGTGCATCCTTCCATTGATATCGTAGCCACGCATATAACGGGGACGAACTGACTGCTGACTCTCAAAGCTTCGCAGATACGCATATACTCATGTTACTCAAGGGTATATACTCATGTTGGTTGGTCACATAATTGCTCAAACCAAGGGAATTTCCACCTGCGTGTGCTTTTTATTATTTGTCAGGGTTTGTTGTTAACCTTCATTTATTAAATTGACTGTTTTTATGTAAGTGTTTATGAATGTTGCCATACTTATCAATGTGTTTTTGTTTGGCAGGATTGAGGTTTCCAGTGATGATCGGCCTGTGAGTGGTTCTCAATGGCTCAGAGGAAGAGGCCAGGGACCAACAGCAGCATGGCCACAGAGCCTCACGCTTCAGCTCCATGCTCCTGCCCAGCCCCGTACCCGGAGCTTGAGCACCCTGAGGAGGAGTATGAAGAGCGCCAGGACCCTGAGGTGTCCCAACACTCCTACCACAATCAAGAGGAGGCAGACTTGACAGACAGCCGACCAGCCACGCCCACTACTCCAGACCATGCCCACAGAGACTACCACAGCCACCCGGACAGTCTGGATGGAGACTCTAGCTCCGACTACGTCAACAATACGTCTGATGAAGAAGAGGACGATTTCGATGAAAGGCTACCAGAGGAGGATGAAGGTGTGACGTATTATATCCGCTATTGTCCTGAGGATGACAGCTACCTGGAGGGAATGGACTGTAATGAGCCTGAGTACAGACACCCGGATGGTCGCATGGAGCCACCTCCAGACACGGATGAGTGCCAGGAAGTGGTTGAGGAATGGGTGGAGGGAGAGGATGATGCACATGGTGATGATGGAGAAGTGCGTTGCGAAGTTCTCGAGCAGGACTCTGACCAGCAGCTGTACGATGGCAGACCCGAACCTGTCCTCGATCACCACCAACAACAACAACAACAACAACAACAACACTATCCGGATCCCCATCAGGAACAGATTCCACCTCCTGTTGTAGATCAAGAAGTGCAGGGTGTTGAAGGAAGTGAGGGCTACTGTCCTGATCAGGAGGAAGAGCCACAGGTGGGGCAAGACAGAGATGGTTACGCAGTTGACTATTACGCCACGGAGGACAATGGAAACTCTGTGCGTGTGTCACCGTACAGGGGGCATAAGGGCACAGACGGAGAGACAGGAGAGGAGGCAGAGGAGGATATTGATCAGATAGTAGCTGAGATTAAGATGAGCATGAGTATGGGCAGTCTTAGCAGCGGCACTGATCAGAGTCCAGAGGAACTGGCGCCCGATCCAGCACCTAGCGAGTACCAGCCAGAGACACGCTCCAAACCCGAACCTGCCCCTGCTCCTGCCCCTGCCCCATACCCTCAGCCTCACCGTCATGACGGCAGACCCAAATCCCTCAACATCCCCCCTGCCAGACACAATCCTGAGCTCCAGAGGAACTTTAAGGTACGACCTCACACACCAGAGGAGAGACAGAGATGGACGCAGGACCAGGTGAGAGAGCAGGTAGGCAGATTTGCATAGCAAGCTGTAAATGGATCTGTATCTGTAGCAGCTTACTAAGGGGAAATCGAATAAATCAGCTCGGTAAATATGAAATAAAAGCAATAGGATCAACTAAATACATTAGACATTTGTGTTAGATTTATTTATCAATGTATTTTGTAGTAATATTCTATAAAAGGAGATGACGGAGTAAATATATATTTTTTGGCTACTCTAGTACTCTAGCATCTGTGGATGTAATGGGTTACTGTAAGTGTAGCTATCTGGTCTGTGATGTATATACACTACTGTTCAAAAGTTTGGGGCTGGTAAGATTTTTTAAAATGTTTTTTAAACAGTCTCTAATTCTTACCAAGGCTGCATTTATTTGGTCAAAAACACAGTGAAAACAGTAATATTGTAAAGTATTTTATTTTTTATATTTTATAATAACACTTTATACATTTTAAATTATACTTTATTCTTGTCATGATAAGGCTGTTTTTAGCAGGCATTACCCAAGTCTTCAGTGTCACATTATCTTTTACAAATATTTTGAACATTTCTTATTATTACCAATGTTGAAAACAGTTGTGCTGCTTTTTGTGGAAACCATTAAACTCTTTTTCAGGATTCTCAATAGAAACAACCACATTTATTTGTAACAGAAATATTTTGCAACATTATACGTTTATTTTTGTTCAGTTTAATGTATCCTTGCTGAATAAAGAATCAAATTCTTGTTCTTGTTCCTAGCCCCGTTGGAAAACAGTGACAGACAAACTTGGGCAGACTTCTATTTCCTTTTAAATAGTTAAACATTCAGAAATATTAATGCAATATTAAATGTTATTTATTTTAATCTAATAATAAAGATCATCCCCAAAGGGCTCTCTGAAATATGCATATTCATTATTATAATTAAATATTAATGTGAATGTTGACAGCCCTCATTTAAATGCAAGTGGCATTTGAGTAACCGAGACTAGTGCTTGTTTATGCCCTAAAAGAGAACCTCAAAATCCTGACAGCTGAGCAGTGAGTAATGATGGAGTATTTTATGCTCTTAAGAGCTGATGCTTAAAATGTGATATGTAGTGTTGGCATAAAATGTTTTCTTTAATGTAATGTATTTTACATAATTTTGGGGTAGTTCCAAAGACAATTATAGAGAATAAGCCGTTATTACCGTTTACTCGCTCATTTCAAGGGGAAAGTGCTCAGTTTGTGCGGCAAGTTGAAAAGGATGAAAGAAAGAAATCTGGCAGAAATTGGAACTTATTGTAACCTAGACATGAATGGGACCCTGATCAAAAGCAATTTCTTGAAACCCCCGAATATGAATTTCATTACTGATGATTTGTGCAGCCATTTGTTAATGCTCAGGAATAAACAAAATTCCACCCAGCTAGAATACATTACCTTGAGAAGCTTTTTAGATTCCATCCCATTATTCTCGCTCAGTGTGTTTTTTAAATCCTTTATCTATTCATTTATTTTTGGCTTGAACAGCCCATTTCTAGAAACCTCTGCCTAATGAAGACAAACACACTGATATCCATGCATTATGCCAATAGTCTTGTTTGCTGAAAATTGAGAGGAGGTGCTGACTTTCTAATTGAGTTTGAAAAATGAGGTTTTCTTAGATATTTCCTTCGAAATACCTTACTTTGCATTTTCAAAACAGAATAGGAAATTACATTTTTCCAAGGGGGAATTAGGTGAAGGGGTGAGATTTAGTCTGATTGCCTCAGTGGTCCAGTGAATGTCTTGTGAAGTTCTATTACCCTCCTGCTTCTTTATTGCCTTTGGGCAATGAGGAGATTACATTTTATCCTGTCAGGCAACAAATTAATTTCATCAAGTAATAATGTCCTTTTGTGCAGTAGACAAAGTGCTCATTTGAGACTTTAACTCCTTTGCAGATAGACAAAGAGTAAAAGTGTCTTTTTTAGCACTGTGCATTTCCAGTTAAAGACATCTGTTCATTTTTCAATACATTGTGTTTGAAAAATGTTCGTTATGCTGCATAAAATATTCCCTTTGGCGTTTTGATTCTGATACGCATCAAATTGTTAATGCTGTTCATAAAGTGGCCTGCAACCCATCATCTGTGTCTTTTTTGTCCTCTGTACATGTCAGATCTCACTCTCCACTCATTTGTCACTCATTTCTCCCAATTTAAATTCTTTCTAGGTGTCTAATAGTGCAGAACAGCCAAGGAAACAGCAGCGGTCTGATCTCAATGGACCACTGGAGAACAACAATGTCCCTGAGGTGAGCCTGTAATCATCCAACACATTAACCAATCAATATCTGACAGTATGCACCCAACATAATCACTGCACGTTTCCATCAGAGCTATTCTAGTCAGTGTCAGCCTGTCATCTTATTTATGCCACATTTCTCTGGCTTTCTTAGAAAATGTATCATTGTTTTTCTCAGCAAATCTAGCTTGCCACCATCCTCCCCCAGGTGTTGATATAGTAAAATAATTGGCTTTGCCCTTTTCTGCCCTGGCTCTACTGTATTTACATAGACAGAAGGGAGTTCAGCCTTCAGCTTCTCTGCACGTTCTTTATGCATGAATGTAACCTCCATAAGAGCTTCGCAGCCTGAATGTAAGAGCCATAAAATATGAGACCTTGTCTGGGCAGTTACTCAAAATCGCCAAATAGGTGTTCAAAACATGCTTTATAGCGCTACCAAGCAATCTGCCAAGGTCATTTATAGATCATTCTCAACACAAGCTTTTGTATGGTTTTTTTTTTTGTATAAAAATTGCCTTATGAATGTTTCACTTGTACTGTGGGAGGTAGTGAGACATGAAAATTTGTGAATTAGGGTCATGAGTATCAAGAATATTTATTGTTAAACCTTCTTAAAATGTTCAGTCATAATTGTTAAAAAGCCATTTCAAGTTTTTTCTTCTTCTTTATTTTCTCATAAATATGTAATTCTGCAACGTAGGTAACACTCTCACAATAAGTCAAAACATGATGGTAATAACCCACAAAGTATTCACCCAGAGGAATTCTGTTTGTACACATCCCTTGCTGTACAGTCCCTGCTAGTCTTGCTGTATGTCATGTAAAGCAGTATTCAGTCTTGCCTTACTACCTCTGAACACATTTAATTACCTTGGCTGAGGGAGCTTTTGAGTCCTTAGATTGCATTTAATGAAGGCCTCTCGAAGCATAACCTCCATTTGGATGGCTCTGTTGTAAAATGATGGCTATTACTCCGTCTGATGGTGTGTCTATGTCCTACAGCTCTCGGCACAGTCCTGCAAAGAGCCACTTCAGAATGACTGACAGGATTTTGTATTCTGATACAATGAGCCACATCCAGAGTCATCTGGATGGTTTCCATTTGCGTGTTAGGTTATTTATTTTATTAGATTAAAAACAAGAAAAAGAAAAGAAAAGCACAGGTGTTTTACAGTTACATTTCCAGTGCTCATTTACTATTCTCAGTCTGTTTGGCAATGTTTTTGTGATAACATTACAATATTAGAGTTATGATTTTAGAATTAAGCAATATCACATGATCATGCTCCAAATATGTCCTAGTGCTAGGCCAACTAATATTTAGACCAAAAAGCATGATAAACTGTAAACAGGAAGTTAATATTCAGCAAACTATACAGATTATACAAAATATAAATGGATACTTTGTCTGTTTTGGCTCGGGCAGCTAAAATATGGGGAAACAAAGCCATATGCAAAATTGTTCTTGAACAATACTGGTGTCACTGTAATGAATCAGTCTTTTTTAACAAACCGTTTGAGGGACTGATTCAATGACTCACTCATAAACACAGTTCCTGAATTTGGAATAGCATACTGCTCTTACTATATTATGCTACAAATTCAACTGTTTATTTCAAATCAGTGTTTTTGAACAAATTGTTTGAGGGAATGATTCCATTACTCGCTTATAAAGGCAATCATGTAAATAAATTTATATTTGTATGTTTTTATTATGCTGTTTATATTTATTCTTTTTTGTATTTTATTATGTCTTTATAAAATATATGTCATTCATGAAGTTAACCTAGAGGTTTTTTTTCTTTTTAGTTCGTAAAAGGTAAATACTTTATAAGCATGCTGCATGATGTGAGCATCACTCATTTCCTTTCATACAGTACATCAAACAATGTTTCTCTGTTTCTTAGCCAACAAAGAAGACGGCATCATTTCCCAGCTTTGTGGATGGTAAGCGAGCATCTCCTATCTTTTATTTTTTCTGCATTTGATAATCTGCCCCCAAAAGTTTTATTCTATTCCAATTAAATCAAGTCAAAAACAAATCAAATTCACCAAACCAACTCAGAGTGAGGAGATTAGAGAGCCGTGCAGAAGAAAGCATTATGTCTCAGTGGATTTACATGCTGAAATGCGAGCAGAATTTGTAAGCTGTTTTAATGGGTTGCAGTGGTGAGACAGTAATTAGAGGAGTCATGTTTGCTAATATAAGGGCACATTAATGGATGCTCAGCTAGAGAAATGCTCACAAACTATAGCAGGAAGCGAAGGAGAGTTCTGGAAAAGCAGGACAATCGATTGACCACAAACTTATTTTGGGTTTACGGCAGCCTGAGAATGTATTGCTGCTGTCATGCCTTGCTTTTGGGAACAAATTCTGCTTTCTATTAAAAGGATAGAGTTCTGTCACATTTAAACCTTGTGCCTGAATGATGGCAGCATAATGTGTCCCTTGGTGGGTGTCATGACGTCCACATTTCCATATCACACAAGCAGAATACTCCCAGAACACCCTGCTTTTCCTCATGTGGCCACCTTCATTCCCGCTTTTCAGTGTCTGCGGTTTTATCAGCCCTCACAGTAGGATGGAATTGAGAACATACACGTATTCGCACACACTCTCATACACACGACATCTGCATGCAACTTTTCTCCCTGATAAGCTCACACTCATATACCTTATCAGTCACTGTGAGGTGGTCTACAGAGGAGGTGGCAACACAACAAATAGCTTTAATAATAAATTCTCAACACTTCCCCTTTAACAGTGCCGGGTCCCTGTGAGCCTGAGGACCTCATTGATGGGATTATCTTCGCCGCCAACTACCTCGGCTCCACTCAGCTCCTGTCGGAGAGAAATCCATCCAAAAACATCAGGATGATGCAAGCCCAGGAGGCAGTGAGCCGGCTCAAGGTACAGAACCCTAGAACCTCTGTATTTCCATTTTATTTTGGTGTGGCTCTCAAGCGAGATGTTTGGACGAAGCGGATGCAGATTTCTTTGGAAAATTAGATGAGATGAGATTTGTTTGTTTACACCCCGGGACTTGTTGACTAATCAGTAATCCCTCTTCCTCCCAACTGGATAACGCAGAAAGACCTCCTGTTGCCATGTTACATGGAAAATTCACGTGAATTTATTGTGTTTTAAGAGAGCATGTGGTGATCTGAGCTGCATTAAATAGTCTGAGTAAATATGCCACTTTAGATGAAGCATCTATGCCACCTCTGCAGACCAAATTTATTTTGTTTATACTGGTTTCATTTGAATGCTAACAGCCCTATAGTGTCTTATTCTACTTGAATTAATTGGTTAAATGTAAGAATTGGAGATAAAAATGGCACGTATTTAATAAGGTTAAAAATGCCCCTGGAATGCAATTTAGGTGGCCAATTTCTGGCTGCCACTTTTGTCAACTAACTACTACACTGAGTATGAAGAATATTAAAAGCATCAGGAGTCAGCTGTCTACAACAGGCATAAACTAGCCAAGGAACCACCACAAAAAACTCCCTCAGCAAAATTAATTGTCTAATTATTGTTATCAACAAAATCCAAAAAAAGTTTGAGATATAGTTTTCAAAATCACACACCCCTAATTAGCAGTTACTCTAAATTGTGTGTGTGTTTTTGTTTGTTTGTTTGTTTTTATATAGCAGAAGACGATTCATATTGCCAGGATGAATCTATGGGCTACACACATCTATTCATTGTGCTGTTAAAGGAATAGTTCACCCAAAGATTAAAATTGTGTCATCATTTACTCACCCTCATCTTGTTCCAAACCTGTGTGTTTCTTTCTTATGTTGAACAAAAAAATAAGATATTTTGAAGAATTTTGAAGAACCAAACAGTTGTTGGTCCCCATTGACTTCTATAATAGGGAAATAAATACTATGGAAGTCAATGGAGACCATCAACTATTTGATTACTAGCATTCATCAAAATATATTTTTTCTTATGTTCAACATAAGAAAAAAACTCATAGAGGTTTGGAATGACACGAGGGTGAGTAAATTATGACAAAATGTTCATTTTGGGTGAACTTTTGCTTTAATTATTGGCCATAGTTGGCACTCCGTTGGGGCAGGAGGTAATGGATGAGTTGTCAGTCCCGTATTAGATGTTTTATGCCTTTCTGCACTCAGCAATGGGAATCCACACAGGCCATGTGAGAAGCTGCTGTCCTAACTTAAATATGCTGTGCACGATGTGTCTCAAATCAGTTTCAGACTGCCTGGCTCCACTCATGCTTGATATACTTCAATTTAGCTTTTTCAGGACAGAAGCAGTTCCAGAGTAGTGCATCTGAATATAAGAAATGGAAACATGCTGTAGAGCCATACAATTTGAATGCATCAGGAATATGCAACTTCATAATATGCAAGTAAGATGGTTTATTCTTGACAGGAGCATCTGTGAAGTTTATAATTACTGCTGTCTGGTCCTGTGGATACTTTGATGGTATCAGATGGTGAATGATTAGAATATTCATGTTCCATGGTACAATAAATACCATTGTTTTGCCATGCACATGTCCAAAAAATGGTACCATAGTATTAGTGTGGCGAGGCATCAAATTTTGAACAAAAAGATAAGAGATAAATTTTAAATGCTTTGAAATGAGGTATTGCAATCCTTATCCTTACAAAGCAGAAGTCTTTTAACAATAGTTTACATTGTTCCCTCTTGTATTGTATGTTATTTTAAGAAAAGACAGTTGTTGTAACTGCAGTGATGCTTCATTGCAGTCCTCCTGGTCAACAGCTGGCAGTTCATTTTACATGAGATGCTCCACAGAGGCCCACAAAGCTGCTCCACATTTAGAAACACATACCTGTGGCAAGGACAAGCACCCATACCTACAGACACGCATACACACAATTTGTCAACTGGGTGCACATAGACCGATGTTCGCCATGAAGGATTGGGAATGTACCTCAGGACGGCAGGATCACTCACCTGTATCAGTGTAATACAGAGGTACTGTAAATGCAGGCCTCTCTGTCGTTCACTCTCACACAGCTACATACTGTACACCTGTCTGCCCAGTGTCTCTCTCAGATTCTAAAAGGAAATTTTTCAGGGTATGTTCCAATTGGACAGTAGAGTTTTGTGGAGTGGACTTTACAAGGTATTGGGCGATCTTAAAGGGGACCTATTATGCCTCTTTTTACAAGATGTAATATAAGTTTCAGGTGTCCCCAAAATTCGTCTGAGAAGTTTCAGCTCAAAATACCTCACAGATTATTTATTATATCGTTTTGAATATGCCTATTTTGAGTGGAAGCAGAAACACGCTGTTTTCATGCATGTCTCCTTAAATGCAAATGAGCTGCTGTTCCCCCGCCCCCTTTTCCAGATTAGGGCTGTGCCTTTGCAGTTTATACCCCAGAGATCTCTGCCAAAAACATCTGTTTGGTTTTGATTATTATGTCTATCACACTGAAATCATGCGATAACAGAAAGCCATATCAGTTCAAACTTCTGATATACAGTTTTCTGAGCGCAAACATCCGAAGCAGGTGCACAGAAAGCAGCTGTCATGTGGCATGTGAGTACTAAACTAAGTTCTCTTTCAGGTCTTATTGCACTTAAATTATCAAATACGCACAAGTTTATGTTAAAACTAGGGCTGTCAGTCGATTAAAATTTGTAATCTAATTAATTACATGTGTCGATTAATCTAATTAATCGCGAAATAAATTTGACTGCAAAAATACCCACAAAAGATTATTTAAAGCTATTTTTTTGTTAAATTGGAAAGTGTCAAGTAGACTTTACAAACTGTAGCTTTATAAAGAAATATTTTATTTGATTCAACATAAAATTAATTACACATAAACATTTAGGCTACAACATCCTAACATAAACTTTGGAACATAAAATAAGATCTTTTGAGAAATATCGCAGTATTTTTTGTTCATACAATGAAAGTCATTGGTAACTAAAACAGCTTTGTTACCAACAGTCTTCAAAATACCTTCTTTTATGTTACACAAAAGAAAGGTTTGAAACGACATGAGGGTGAGTAAATGATGACAGAATTTTAATTGTTTTGGGTGAACTATCCCTTTAATGTATTTTTATTATTATTATTATTTTTTTTTTATGAAATGATACTCTAAATAAGAAACTAAATCTACCAACAGGTGGCGGTAAAAGTCTTTCATTCGATTCGCTCAAACGGCTGATTCATTCAGGAATTCAGTAAACGGCTCTCTTTATGAACGGGGCTTTGAATCATTGATTCACACGATTCGTTCAAAACGCGGATTCATTCAGAAACTAAAAGCCCCTGTGTTGCTCGGAAATGCACAACAATTCTGCTATGGCTTTACAGGTAATATGTTCTCTGCAAAAAGCACATAATATTGTGTTTAAAATATAACACAATATCAACTTCTAATTTACTGAACTGTTGTACAAAATCAATTTAAACTCGTGATATTCAGGACAAAATCAGCACTCGTGTGATACTGCTCTCGCTGCTCGTGTCATATTGTATGATATAAATATGAGACAAAAACTCATACAGCATTTTTGCACCAATATTTTGAATTTTAGGGCATAACTGCATTTATGGAGTTGTTGCCCTGCATCATATTTGTCAACAGTCAGCTGTATGAAATGTAAGATGACTTACAAGTCTGGGGGCAGGGTCAGTGCGTTAACTGCGTTAAAATATTTTAATCGTGTTATTTTTTCATAATTAATTAATTAAGTTAACGCGTTAAACTGGCAGCCCTAGTTAAAACACATACCAGTTACAAAAACACAGTACAAAAACACATATCTGTGAAGGTAAACAGCATGTTTATATTAATCTGTCTGTTAAATGACAGCGGCGTCTATACTGCTGTCTATGCTGTTAATATGACCAAAACAATTAAATAAAAGAGAAAATCACTCACTGTTCTGGACTGAATAACTTCTATAGCTTTAATAAAAAGACATTTCTTACTTGAATACTGATTTTAAATGCTCTGGTGTACAATTCACAAGGGCACGCCAAAATTGGACAATAGAAAACTGGATAAAGGTTGCCTCATCTCGATTTCTGCTGTGACATTCAGATGGTAGGGTCAGAATTTGCTGTAAACAACATGAAAGCATGGATCCATCCTGCTGTGTATCAGTGGTTCAGGCTGCTGCTGGTGGTGTAATGGTGTTGGGGATATTTTCTTGGCACACTTTGGGCCCCTTAGTACCAATTGAGTATTGTTTAAAAGCCACATATATAAAATAAATGTAATATTTATAGTCATTAATGTAATAATTTACAAGTTTCAGATGATGTCTGTGTTCCTAGGCCCTACAGAGCATTCCACATGAACAAATTTTGTTTGGTGAACTGAACTTCAACAGATATTCCCTGCTGAGTGAACACTGTATAGAGACCTTCTGAATCAGAATGCAGCTTCAGCTTCCACCCAAGCTTCTAGTGTTCTCGACCACCTTCTGTTCCCTTTGCCGAGGGCCAATCCGGTCATTTCTCTTGCCTGCCACCTTTAAAAGCCATTCAAAATGAAACCATGGCAACGCACTCTTTCCTTATCCTCTCTATCCCTGCTATTATTATGTGTCTAGATTTTTAAAATTTGAGATGAGTTGCACAATCCTCCCTCCTTTCTCTCTTTTCCTCTTTCTCCTCCTTCCTTTCCGTATCTCCCTCACACACAACTCTGACATTCATGCACCCACACATCTGCTCTTCCACTCTGCAGATGATAATGTGTCTGTCCACAGCTGAGTGAGCAGTATGTCAGCACAGAGCCTGAGGACAGTGTTTTTCTGTTTTTCACTTCTAAAGCAGTGATTTCCAACCAGGTGTACGCACACCCAGAGGGGAGGAGACGGTTCACTCATATAAAATTGAATGGGAGAAATTGTGATGCTCAGTATGGTAGCTTTAGGTTCCACCTACAGTTAAAAGAGCCTATTGTTTTTTTCTGTTTGTTTACTCTTGAATGTGCAACCATTAAAGGGATAGTTCACCCAAAAATTTTCAACCCTGAAAATGTACTTACCCTCAGCTGTCTAAGATGTAGATGAATTTGTCTTTTTCATCAGAATGGATTTGGAGAAATGTAGCATTACATCACTTTCTCACCAAATGATCCTCTGCAGTGAATGGGTGCTATCAGAATGAGAGTCCAAACAGCTGATAAAAGCATCACAACATTTGAACTCTTTGCTCTAATTTCTGGCCACAATATGAGTCCATCCCGTTTTCCTATCACATCAAAATCCACAGACATATTTGTTTAGGACTGTTTTGGTTTGTTTTTGCTTGTCAACAATGATTGACCTGTGCATATTTTTCTCCTGATTCAGATGAGACATATTTTTAACTGGAAGAAGTAATATTATGTATAGAGGACTCATATTTTAGCTGGAAGCAATGGTTTGAAATTAAAAATGTTGTTATGGATGTGCTTATAACAAATAGTTTTTCACTTCACAAGACATTAGTTTATGGATTGGAGTCGTGTGGATTATTGTGATGATTTTATCAGCTGTTTGGACTCTCATTCTGATGGCACCCATTCACTGCAGAGGATCCATTGGTGAGCAAGTGATGCAATGCTAAATTTCTCCAAATCTGTTCTGAAGAAAATAAACGAATTCATCTACATTTTGGATGGCTTGAGGGTAGTAATTTTCAGCACATTTTTAGTTTTGGGATGAACTATTCCTTTAAGTGGACCAGCCTAAAATAAACAGTGTTACTGTTGTTGTTTGCATGGTTTGAGCCAAAGAAACACAATGATACCACTGGTTTCCAAAATATGCTATTGAATCAAGATCATACTGTAACACACAGGATATGCAAACACTGAACACAATGCAATTCTTAAAAACCCACAGTGTTTTGCCACTTTGGAAGTTCTCACTAACGTTTGAGTTCACTTATGTGATATTTCATGCTAGTTTGTATGAGTTAAAAGGAACACATTTCTGATTTTTGTGTCAATGAAGAGGTACTTGATCCATACTGATGGAGGTACATAAAACAAAAGGGTTGAGAAACACTGGGCATACCTCAATCTGGCACCAGCATCTCACTCCTCCTCTGAATAATAAGAGCAGTACCTAAGCCAACAAAATTGCAGCACATTCTTTTGCACGCTGGCCAAGAAAGCAAGATGTAGCCATTTCTTTTGTTTTAGGCAAGAAACATAGGAAAAAAGCCTAATGTTTTATTGAAGTGTATCCCTGTAGCCTCCAGATTGATTTAGTATTTATGCAACATTCATCGCCCACGCGTTCACGGTCTCATTTCCCCTTGACTTTCAAGCTCTTTCTCTCTTGTGCTGTTGATTTATCTCCTCTTTTCTCTCTCTCCTCTGCCAGTGGAGGATGAGGCATGTTGGCAGCAGAAATGACAGTAAAGGAGTAGTTGTGCTCATGATGCTCAGCCAGAAAGAGATGAGAGCAGTTCAAAGGATCATGCCCCAGGGTCAGGTGGAAGAAGGTAGAGAGAGAGGGAGAGACAGAAAGAGCTGAATGGGATCAGAATACTCAGACACTATCAGACTCATAATGAGTGGGCTCTTATGAGTGTCTATAGACAGAGGTATTTTTCCTCTTTCTAACCTTCTCTCTTTTATTTATCTCTGTTTATATTGCATGTTCATTATACAGTTTATGCAATCTTTTATAAATATTTGATAAAATCTAAATAGAATATAAAAAAACACTAATTAAAATGATAAAAGTATATAGCCAATAACAGATAGAAATAGATCAAGATCATTCAAAATATTTATAAATACTTGTAACGATTCAGTCCACTGAAGGAGAGTTAAAGTGAGAACCCAAGTGCAGTAAATTTACAGTGTGATCCAAACAATAATCCATGACTTGACATGAACGGACTTGGCATGAACAGACTAGACTCACCGACAGCGGGTTACAACATCAATACACGACAAGAGACAATGGCAACATGATGGCTACTTATAGCAAACAAGAGGGTCACATGACAATAACAAACCAATGGGAAACAAGACACATGACTAGGACAACCAATCAGAACATGACACATACACAAGGCAGAGATACATGAGGGCAAGGGAAGCATGACACCAACAGGGTGAAACAATTACAAAATAAAAGACATGAAAACATGAACATGAAACAAAACCCAAACACAAAACCCCACATTACATATCCACCCCCTAAGGGCGGCTCCAGACGCCCAAACAAAACCCAAAAAGTCCAGGAGGGTGGTGGAGTGGAGGCGGAACTGGGGGAGGGACGGAGGGCCTGACAGGGCAGACAGTGAGTTCATGAACGGCCTCCTTGGCCGTGGCAGGACAGACAGTGAGTTCATGAATGGCCTCCTTGACCGTGGCAGGACAGACAGTGAGTTCATGAGCGGCCTCCTTGGCCGTGGCAGGACAGACAGTGAGTTCATGAACGGCCTCC